ATGATTCAATATTCTATTAACCATGAATATATATACACAAAATTAGGGCTACAGTTACCTAAAAAGAACCTAAGGCTAATATAGCAATTACACAAATATACACAATAACAATATCTGTTTTTTACTTAATGTATTGAATATTTAATTCATGTAAATTCTATTTATATTTTATACAATAATATGTCTTTTTTTTGTTGTTTTTTGTTTGTTAAATAAATGGGAGATGCCACGATTACATGATGATTTAATGGTTACAAACTCTGACAAAATGGTTTCGTAACCGAACCATAACATTTCCTTAAATTAATATGTCTATATTTAATGCCACATAAAATTCCGTCAACCCTACAGATCTATACAGTGTGCACATGGGTTAGCTCATGGTATAACATGATTTGCCGATTTTTACTGCACGTGTTGACTAAGTATATTTTACAAAAAATAAATAAATAAATAAATCGCACTACAATCTATGCTGTGATATCAGATTTGGGGTTTGACAATTTACTTGCAACTATAAAATAGTATTTTCATATAGGAAACAAAATGGGGACATGAAATTAATATAACTTGGTTAATATATTATCATTGTAGAAATATCGAACGAATCAAATTGCGTTATTATAATTAGGTTTATCCAGTTAATTTGATTACCAACTTACAAGAAATATTATTTAGAAATTGGTATTGATTTAACGAGCAAAAAAATATAAAAATGTATAAAACAGCATAAAATTGGGAAAATTGAAATATAAAATTCAAGAACTAGAACATAAAATTCGAGAACCAAAAAATCTCAGCCCTTTAAAATAGAGCCCAAATATAAAGCCCAGCTCTATGGAAGTTACTAAACCCTGGGCCGTCTTTCTGGCTTTATAACCCAAACACGGCGCTTACCCCGCAAAACCCCGCGGGCCCCACAAAGAACCCTACCCCACACAACCCCACAGGGAACTGTATTATTTGCACATGCATTTTCTGACCCATCTCAACAATTAATAACTCCGACACCAAGTCGTGAATATCACAAAAAACAACACCACCACACACAAGATGCACCCCGCCGCCGTCCCCCCGACGTCCCCCGCCGAGACCCTGGCCGAGATCACCTATCTCCTCGGGGACCTCCTCCCCTCCACCATCCCCATCACCTGCTTCGCCTCCAGATGGCAGGCCATCCGGTCGCGCCTAGCCGCGCTCAAATCCCTCATCTCCGAAATCTCCGACTCCCCCCACTGGTCGGATAATCCCCTCCTCCCGCCGATCCTCCCCTCACTTCTATCCACTCTCCGCCGCACCGAAACCCTCTGCCGCCTCTGCCGTGACGCCTCCTCCGCCAGCCGCGGCAAGCTGCTGATGCAGTCCGACCTCGACATGGCCGCCGGATGGCTCTCGAAGCAGGCCAACGACCTGGAGCTCCTCCTCCGCTCCGGCGTCCTCCAACACTCCACCGCCATTGTCCTGTCACGTCCGAATCCGAGCTCCTCGAGAGACGAGCTCGCGTTTTTTGTCAAGGACCTCTTCACCAGACTCCAGATCGGAGGGCTAGAGTTCAAGCGGAAGGCCCTGGACTCGCTGATTCAGCTCCTGTCGGAGGACGACAAGTCCGCCGCCGTCGTCGCCAGGGAAGGGGACGTAGGCTGCCTGATTTCGCTTCTCGATCTGAATTCTCACGATTCTGTCCGGGAATTGGCGGTTCACGCGGTTTCTCTGCTGGCCGCTTCCGGCGATTTGCCTCGTAAGTGTTTGTTCGAGGAGGGGGCTTTGGGCCCTCTGTTGAGAACGATCGAGTGCAGCTCGGCCACGACGAAGGAAAAGGCGGCCATGGCCGTGGAAGCCATTACAGATGACACTGATAACGCGTGGGCGATTTCTGCATATGGCGGCGTCCCAATTTTAATCGAATTGTGTAAATCCAGTTCTCTCACAGCTCAATCGCACGCAATTGGGGCAATTAGCAATGTTTCAGTTGTAGAGGATATTCGGGTTGCATTGGTAGAAGAAGGTGTTGTCCCTGTCTTGATGCAGCTGCTCGTCTCCGGGAGCCCATCCGCTCGGGGGAAAGCAGCCAATTGCATATCCATTCTTGCCTCGACTGGCGATCATTTTCGCAAATTGTTGCTCGAGGAAAATTGCTTGCACAGGTTACTAAATTTGTTTCATGAATGCCCAACTGCGGATTACTCCGAACGTGTACTGCGTGCGATTTATGCATTATCTGCCTCGGATAGCAGTCGTAGAATCCTATCCGGATCGACCCAATTTATAGTGCAAATCAGCGAAATTGTAAAGTACGGTAATACAAAATTGCAGCACATCTCTGCTTCTTTGCTCACTAAATTATCAATTAGTGATGGAAATAAGACCTTAATTGCTGGTTGTATGGGTTCTCTGGTGAGGCTAATGGAGTCGGTAAAGCCTGAGGGCATACAAGAGATTGGGGCTAAAGCATTGATATCATTGTTATCGGTAAAGTCGAATAGAAAAGAGCTGGTTAAGGATGAGAAGAGCTTGACGAGGCTGGTGCAAATGTTGGACCCCAAGAATGATGTGGTTTCGAAGAAGTGTCCAGTGGCTGTGGTGGCGGCAATCATGGCTGGAGGTAGCAAGGGTTGTCGGAAAATGCTTTTGGCGAGGGGCGTTTATGGGCATTTGCAGAGATTGGCGGAGATGGATGTTGCTGGAGCCAAGATGGCTTTGCATAGGCTCTCGGGAAGTAGGCTAATGAGTGTATTCTCGAGGTCATGGAAGCAATAATCGGCAAAGGCCATAGGCGGGAGGAAAGGTAAGTTTAACTTACCATTTGAATTTGGACAGGAGAGAGTTAATGACTGTTTTGGGGGATTACAATTTACAGCTGGTGAATTAATATGCTGTTTTGTGAAATATATTGCTATGTTGGAGGGGTGATTAATTAGGTAGGATGTGGAATTAAGTTGTATGATTTCAATTGCAAAGATTCTTTAGAATTTGAAGATAATTGCACTAGTAGGAAAATCAAATTGCAAGCTGAAAATATGGTATTGGTAGTATATTCACCTACTATCATAATTCGCCTAGAACAGATCGAGATAATTATGAAAGCTACGTTTGCCTTAGCTGAAAAATACAAGACTCTGGTTGCCGTAGAATTACAAATGCCTCCTTAAAGCGTTACAGAATGCATACTTTCATTATTCAAACCGCAAATTTCACCTATTGAGGCTGCAATTTGTGAAAGAAAATTAAGATAGTTTTTTGTAATTGAACTTGCTGCAAAAGGGTAGTTTTTAGAATTTCCCTTAACAATTATGGTCAATAGGTGGACGATTAAATACTATAAGGTACGGGTTTTACCTAATTATGCTGTTTTTCTAACTGTGTATGGTGCTGCTGAGTATGGAAGTGAGCTAATATTGGTTAAACTCATTGTCTTCAGCATTATTCCATTTTGATTGCGACTCTAATTAACATATCCTGGAAATAAAAACTGGTTTGGTGGCTAAAAGGACACTATACTAATTGCATGGACCATAATGTATGTTAATGCATTTCGAAAAATTCCACTCATACGAAGAAAATAAGTAGTTGGTTTAATGAACAACAAAGACATCGACACAAGAGAAGTTCATCTCTTAATTGTCAGATGATGGACAGGCTGAGATGTGATTTTAGTGTGTTGGTTGTGTAGTATTAATGTCATGTGAAGGTCTGATATAGTCCAAATTTTAACTGTTTGGACTTATTTGATAATTATTGCTGGATAATTGATATGTTCATTGGTAGGTAATATGTATATCTGTGACATTACAAGACACAATGGACCTTAAGTGATTCACATCACATGTTTGTGTTTGGTGTCTTGTGCTTTAGTTGATCTCTGGTCTTGTGCTATTTCTATTTTCTTGCAGGAAGTTCGTCCGAAGCTTCTAACTACTGAGAAGTTGTGTACCGGCTGCGTATTGAAAGCAAAATCACAGTAAACAGTCGGTATACCTGAAAACTTTTAACTCATGGTAGTTGTATACTTTATTATAGGAAAATATCATGAGGAAGCAAAGTGATAAAAAAAAAAAAAAAAATGTT